CCAAAACACTACTCTGTCGACAAATTGCAGCACTTTGAATTAGCACCAGAGCTTTAAGAGCTCTCCGGCTGTCACCTGGAGACTGGCAACAGCTTGTTTGGAGGGTGGGGAGTATGGCATTGTATCTGTCTGAGGTCCTCCTCTTTCTCTTCCTCCTCCTCCTCCTCAGACCCCACCCTCAGCAGGCTTCATTCCTAAACTATCGTGGAAGTTTCCAACCTGGAGTTTGCAACCCTATGACCTTTCCAGGCACCCATCAGCCTAACCTTTATCTGCCTGTCTGTCTTCAAGTTTACTCCCCCCCCCCCGCCTCTGCCTAGGGAAAGCAGCTGTCATCATTCTCCTCTCCCCCTATGAGGTATGTTAAGGTTGAAAGTGTGTGAATGGTCCATAATCCCCCAGGCAGCTTTTAAAACATGATCCTGGGACCTACACACCACCAGACATTCCAACTGCCTTGCAGGGGGGGGGAGTATGAGGTGTGGAATGGAGTGAAGTCCAATCAGCTTCCATATGCAAAAGACCTTGAAGGTTTCATATGCAACTGACATTCCAACTGCCTTGCGGGGAGGGGGGTGAGTTTGAGGTGTGGAATGCAGTGAAGTCCAATCAGCTTCCATATGCAAAAGACCTTGAAACGCTGGGCGGGACTGCACAAAGCAGCCAGTCAACCCAGCCAGCGTCTTCTGACTGACAGTTCAAGCGTCCATACACTAAAGGGGCCAAATTTAGAATGTTCATATAGAATGTTCTTACTCAATTATATATAAGGAGAGATGGGGTTTGTGTGTATATATTCTGTGTATATATTCTGAGTTTCACTGACTCATAAAGTTTAGAAGGCAGGAACACACAACCAGACTCCAAATTCCTCTTTTCTAGAAGCTATTTCCCTTCATAACTGGGCAGGGATCACTTCTCTATAAGCTATTTTCCTTTTTTTGGCTTGAATGAGGATCCTCCTTGATTTACTCACTCTCTTAGCCTCTTTCCCAGTCCATAGTTGGTGCTCTTCACTGTCTCTTCTTCAACTGTCAGTTCCCAACTGTCATTCCTTAACTGACTCTCTCAACAGAATTCTGTAAGAATAGCCTGTCACTCAAAGGTTCTCAGACTCTTAGGCATTAACCCTTGACAGTCCATCATATGCCTCACCCTTTTTTCTCATTGCTTCAAGGGAGGTTCTCTCAAGCCTCTCCTGTGCAATCAGTGAAGCATGTGTTTGCATTTTACTTTCCCCCCCAATCCCAATAACTCAAACTTCATAATTATACACACACACACACACACACACAATTCAAAATACTTTCTAACCTGCTCCTTTAGGTTGTTCTGGAGAGTGCATCAGCGATAGCGTTCTCCTTCCCTCTTACAGTGTTAAAGTTGAAATCTTGTAACTGGAGATTCCATCTGATTAATTTGCTGTTGGTACTTTTCACTTGGTTTAACCAATCTTAACGTTCACTTGGTTTAACGTTCACTTGGTTTAACCAGCTTAGACCAGGATGGGGCAGGGGACCAGTGTTCCCTCTAAGCTGAGTTAGTGTGAGCCAGCTCACAGTTTTTTAGCCCCTGGCTCACACATATTTGTCTTGGCTCAGGAAGGATGTCTCCAGAGCAAACTAATTTATGCAGTAGCCAAATTGCTAGCTCACAACTTTAATGCCCGTAGCTCACAAAGTAGAACTTTTGCTCACAAGACTCCACAGCTTAGAGGGAACATAGCAGGGGACTGGATTCAAAGCCCCATCTTGGCACAGAATTTACTAGGTGAGTACTAGGTCAGTACATAATGTGAATTTCCTCCCCCATAAATATGGTTTTAGCTTTCCTATGGTCTGCACTATTGCCAAACATTTTATTTCAATAACGAAGAGGTATTGTTCTCTCTCCACTAACTTCCTACTAAGAAAGAGTACAGAATGTTGGATTCCATCCTCCCCAATCTGGTTTAGCATGGCCCCAATCTCAGTATTGGAAGTATCTGTGTATAGAGTAAAGGGCTTCTTGCAGTCAGGTGCCTTCAATACCAGCTCTGTGGTCAATACCTGTTTGTGGCAGTCAAAGACGGTTTGGCATTCCAGCGTCCAATTTACCTTGTCAGGAAAGGCTTTCTCAGTGAGTTCACATAATGGAGCTGCAATGGAATTGAATTTGGGAATGAAACTTTGATAATATCCCACGACTCCTATAAAGGCTCTGATTTGCTTTTTGGTTGTGGGTCTATGCCATTCCTGCATTACTTGTACTTTGCTCCAGTCTGGTTTTATTACCCCACCTCCAAGTATGTGCCCTAGATATTTTACTTGGCACATAGCTATTTGGCATTTGGAGGCTTTTACTGTTAAGCCAATCTCCTTTATCCTTTGGATCTCAATGGCTAGATGTTGAAGATGTTCCTTCCAAGTTTGGCTAAAGGTTGCAACAACATCAATATAAGCAATGTTGGAGGCTGGGAGTCTATGGGCAA